TGATTCCTCATTAACATAATTGCTAATTGGGAAATCATTTGCCCAATTATCATTCCAAAAATGTATTTCTTTGCCATTGCCAAATTCCCATCCAATACCATTTTTAGTAAATTTCTAGAGGAGAGAATACCTCTCCAATCCCAGGAATGGTCTTTTTTCTTTTTAACTTCATAAAAGTTTCCTCTTAAATATTTTTTGATACTACTTGGACCCAAGGGTTTTCTTTCTCATTTAGAATCTTCCACCCAAGTTTTTTTGGTTAATCACCCCTCCTTTTTTTTCTCAAAATGCTGGTTGTGGGATTTGATTCTGCATCATTGCTGGGACAAGCCAGCTAATACACCAACAAGCCAGCCCTTGATTGGTTCCCAAGTTTGACAATACAAGCATCATTTACCCATCCTAGATTTTTTAAACCTAGGCCATCCATTTTTTGGTGGTGCACTCCCACTCCCAATTAACTAAATCTCTTTGATTCCTTTCTAACACATCAATCACCCCTTGGGGATTTTATAGAGAGGGACTGAGAGAGAGAGAGTTCCTCTTCGGACCCTTTAATTTTCAATTAAGTTTCTCTCTTAGGAAGGTGAAAGGTTCACAAGTGTGACAAACTATTGAAAGAGTCAAACACTATGTTTGTATCGGGTAGGAATGGCAGTGGGGCAGGGCGGGGGCGTGTTTTGCATGCCCCGACCCTGACCCCAAACTCAAATGCCTTGTCCCATGCCCTCCTTGAACTCCATCGGGACTAGAAATCCTAACTAATCCCCATCTCCCATCCCTTTAGGAACTGGAATCTCAAACTCCACTAGGGATATAACCCTAACCTCATCCTCATCCCCGTGAAGAACAAGGATCTCTGAATTTGCCCCACCCGCCCTGGTCATTCTTACTTGCACACTTGCCAGTTTATTTTTTATTTCTTGGAACCTACCTAAAACTATTTTATATTATGTAATATAATATAGTGTAATATATAATATTATAATATAGCATAATATATACTAATACCATCCCTGCCTTGTCCCCGATCCCTAGAATTTTAGGTTTTCCCAAAATTCGCCCCAAGCCTCAATAAGTGGTCAAAAAGCTTGCCCCAACTGAGGTGGGGCATGGCAAAGCCCCACGGGGATGGGTTAAATTGCCGTCTCTAGTATTAGGGATGATCATGGGTTGGGACTGGCTTAATTAACAATAATGCATACAAAAATCTCGACCTAGCCCTGTTCCATAAATTTGTGGGTTGGGTCAGGCCAAGAATGATTACCCCTATGGGTGATCATTTCAGCTCGGCCTGCCCCGGAAATTTCGGGCTTGGGCCTGGGTTTTGTGTTTAGGTCCGGCCCAGGCCCGGGCCCACATCAGGCCCACAAATTTTAGGGTCGGGCTTGGGCTTAATACTTCAAGCCCGGCCTGGCTCACATATATTTAAACTTACACATTTTGTGTATAATGTATACATATGTATACATGCTATTTTACATTATATTATATATTTTATATATAAATATTATAACATGACATGTATAATTTATATTATATGTAATATTTTATATTATATAATGTATAAAATAAGTTTATATGCATGTTATGTCATTTAATATATAGATATGTAATGTTTTATATATGAGTAACGTTGGCCCAGAATCAGGTCTGACCCGACCCGGGTCTGTATAGACCTAGGCTAGGGTTTATGTTTCAAGCCCGGAACCCCAGGCCCAGGCCCAGGCCTAAGCTATAACCCTTATCATATGTGCAAAGCCCAGCTCGGGCCCGACCCGTGAGCACCCTTAATTACCCCCCCACTTTCTATATAGCGTACCTTTCCTAAGACTTCCGGTGGGTAGAGACTATTATTGGCTAATGACATAAAATGAAATTTTGTTCAAAGAAACGAACAAGGAAATTTGCCATGGAACAAAAGAATGACCATTGAATAGAATGTATTATGAAGGATTGCTTTTGAGGATTGTTGTGGACCAACCACCCCAAATTTCTATACCTCACCTTCTTCCTTTTATTAGACAAAAAGTAATCAATTGGTATTCGACACCTAGGCCTCATTCGCTTTTCGATAAATTATTTATCTGGATAAGTGCATTATACATATTCTTTTATTTCATAGGTAAATAAAACAATGATTGTTTTAGCTATAAAAGTCTATTATTTAAAAAGACATTTTTATCTCATCCAAGTGTTAGCAACTTTCTCCCTGTTGGAAAAGTTATTTTTACCCACATGAGAGATAGGTATCACTTACATGAATAAATGATGCCCAAGAAAACAGATTTTTCCTGATCTCCATATAAATCTAAGAAAAAATCATAAATTTTTTAATCAATGAAAACCAAAATACCATTACGAATTTTCCCCTTCTCAAAGTCCAAAAAAAAGAACGCCCCTAATGTTCATGGTTAATAAGTACATGCTCCATATAACTACACAGTGAGCAAGGCCAATACGTATAATTGGGCCTTGGGGTGTAAGCGAGCCTAACCAAGTTACGAGTTACTTGAGTTTTATTCATTAAATAATTGAATTCGACTTAAAATATTAAAATTTAATAATTGGTCGAATCGAGTTCTAGCTTTACAATACTTGATTCATGTGACGAGTTCATATCTGCGCCCCACAAGGGGTCATCATGGGGAGACGTTGTGAATACATGGCCGGGATGTACTGTGGGACGTTGTGGGCACCCTCTTATGAGACACAGATGTGACTCTCATGCAATTTGTGAGATTAAAAAAATTTATATTAAAATATTATTTTTATTATTAATTTATTTACAATAACTCAAGTCAAATTCCAACAAAAAGCTCAAACCTTTGATCGAACTTGAACAACCCAATACTGACCTCAACTCGACTCAATTCGACTCCATTACAATTTATACTCGTAGTTGGCCCGTCTAGGAGTCCAGACCCAACTCGACGTTAGGATTGAGTCCACAGCAAGGTTTTCAAAATCGAACTGAACAACAAACTGGTTAGAGTCCGGTTCCCAGGTAGAATGGTTCAATCGTTTAAATCGAATGATGCCCATTCTGACGAGAAAAAAAATGGCCAAACCATTGAACGGTTCGAATGGATTGACCGCCCGAGTCAGCGGTTTGCTGACCAAATCAACAGTTTTTGGGGAAATAACCAAGGTTCTAAATATCGATATGGGCCGATACCTGTGTCGATGCTTTTTTTTTATGTTTTACTTATTTTTTCCGAAATCGGTTCAGAAGGGCCGATTTAAGGCCCAACTACCCTCTAAACCAGTGGTTGTCCCGATACAACCCCTATAGGGGCGTATCAAGAAACCATCAACACAATACGTATCGGATCATACGTGTCGATACTTTGAACCTTAAAAATAACTGTTCTAAAATAAAACAGAACCGATCACCTTACCTATTCCCAATTTTCAAGTCTGACCATGCAGTACAGTCTGGTTTTAAAAACCATGGTCCAAACCCAACAAGGTGCAAGCCCAACAATTAGAAATTGGATCCGAGTGACAACATGCATTGATAAATTCACCTCAAAAGTAAAATGGAAAAATACGGACAAATCCAATACAAATTTCTCAATACATCAATGCCCACCAATACCCTCCGTAAATTGACATCAATTCCGAGCTGCCACCTGGCCGAACCGTCGTTCTTCCAAAGAAAAATTAAATATTGACTTGATCCACTATTCGTAGCCCAGGTACAGTCCATTCCACGATGGGATGGGGCCAGCCCAGGGCTACCTAGCCCACCTCCAACTACAGTGTTTCTCGGCGGACCCTGTCTGTAGGGCGAAGAATTCAAGAGTTGCACTGCTACGGGGCAGGCATCAGGCAGCACCGCAGCAGGCAGTGCAGAGGTTAAGACAAGGGCAATTTAGTAATTCAAGCTCACCTTCACCTACTAAATAATCACTCATTCCCGAGAGAGAGAGAGACCAGTCAAACCTAAACCCCTCTCTCTCTGGAGGGCACATGATCACATGGTCCAAAAGTTCCACTGTACTCCTTTGTCATATCATATTCATTTAATAAATAACACGTGCTTCAATTGTAATAAGCGTGGACAGTGGCCACACTACCTGAACTCAAACTCTGTATCCTGAAACCCACCACCATGGCCCACTTGTTCTCTGATACAACCCAAAAAGCAAGCCCGGTCCCACCCCCACCTGAAACGGAAGGTAGGACTCACACCCCCAAAAAGCGACAGTACAACGTGACCGAGTCAGCTCCCCACAAGACTGCCCCTACAACGTCTCACAGCACATTATCATTCTTGATATTATCATCGGATGATGTTCTGAATACATGACGAGGATGTGCGGGAAATTGTGGGGCATTCTTGTAAGGGGCTGATTTGAACTCCAGTACATCTTGTTCCTGTGCTTTCGATGAATGGCCTCCCACGTGACGTCAGATCGGAATCTATTTCAGACCACATACCCCCAAACGCGTCCAACACCGTCTCGGGCTCCGAGCACTAATTAATTCAATAAATCTACCCGTCCCTTCCTCACTCCCCAGTCCCCACTGGGGGTGGGGGCATCTATGACTACGGGTTACTACTCATTACGGAAAAAAAGTCACTCAGATCCACCCACCACGTAAGCCCCACATACATATTATCACTTTTGCCTATTTCAACGGTCGACGATAGAGCCACGTCATCGAAAACTTCGAGATTCTCTGAACACGGATGACGTGGCGTTATCATCCACCGTCCAAAGGACAATTCTTCTCTTTTTTACTTTTTAGTAATGGGCCCACCACTTTTTCCCCTTCATGCACTTTGAGGAGGTCGGGAGGAGGGAGGGACGATTGAATTGTTGAGCAGCATCCTAGATTTCCTCGTGTACCACAAAACCTCAAACACTAAAAACGTAGACAACTTTTAAGAACACACACGCGCAACACATGCAGCAGAACCCCCCACCCCACTCTCACATCAACAAACAATAAATGAACAAATTAACAAAACTCCTCTCTCTCTCTCTCTCTCTATTTCTCTATCCTCTTTCTCCCTCCATTTCCTCCTTTTCTGATAGAAATAGAAGTCTGGTGGGGTCAAAAGAAATAAAGAATTCCTCAGCCTTCCCAAAATCTCTCTCTCTTTCTCAACTCCAATTCCATTCCGTTGCCCTATAAAACCCTAACTCCCACTCGCCCAGTTTCTTTCTTTCCTTCTCTGATTGTGAAACGCTCGGTTCGGTTCCGGTATCCAACTTTTTTACTTATATAAACCCTAAATCTTGTCCACCAAAACACAACCCTAACCCCCTCTTTCTGAGCAACTCTCGAGCTTTCTTCGATCACTCACGGAAATGGGATCAGAGTTGATCCTCCGTAACTCCTCTCAACCCGGCGAACAGAACACTGTATCGACGCGCGATGTTTCGAAAATCCAACTGACCCTCCCTCGGAAGTCATCCTCCAGGGACCGCCACACGAAGGTTAACGGCAGAGGCCGCAGGATCCGTATGCCAGCTCTCTGCGCTGCCCGCATCTTTCAGCTTACCCGCGAACTTGGCCACCGATCGGACGGGGAGACCATAGAATGGCTTCTCCGGCAGGCCGAGCCTTCTATCATTGCCGCTACAGGAACGGGAACCGTTCCGGCCCCTTCCGAGTCCACACCCACGGGTGTGATGCCTCCAGCGTCGTCTCCGTCGACGTCTGCGCCTGTGTCTTCGTCTTCGACTTCGATCTCCAGCGCCATCAAGGCTCGGCCAGTTGCGGCGGTTCCCGAGAACCATCGAGTCCCGACTGGGTTCTTGGCGGTTTCGTCATTCGAAACGGCACCGCCGATCTGTCGGCTTGATTTGTGTCAGCCACCGGTTGGGTTGGAGTTTCCGAGTAATGGGTATCGGCACATGCCGTTTACGGCTATGTTGCTACAACCAACATCGGAGGGAGAGGAGCAGCCACATCCGCCGCCGCCGCCGCAGCAACAACAGGAAGAGGTTAATAAGCACTGAATCTTTTGGGTAGGAGGTCTTTCCTTCTTGTTCTTCTTCTGTTCTTTGTCTTTGATTTGAAAAGAATCTATTATGAGTGGTAGAAGAAGAGCTTTTGAGCCAGAAAGATTGATCAGATGTAATTTTGGTAGGCTACATGTAAGATACATAGAATCATCATCATCATCATCATCACCACGATCATAATGTAACTAAATTTCTACATCTTTTTGCTTTTCTTTTTAGAAGACAAATGAATGTAGGGTTTTTCATGGGTTTTCATTTACTGTTTCTTCCCTTTCTTTTTCCGAGTTCACTGGTAATGTCTTCTTTTTTTTTGGCTTTTGGGTATTATATGATTTGAAGTTACAGGAAAAAAGAGAAAGTTTCTCTCTGCAGGCGTATTAGATTCTTTAGCTATTTATATAAAGAGAATCATGTCTTCTTTTGGTTTCTGAACCTGGGTTAATTGGTGCATTATAGAGAGGTGGGCCTTGTTTGCTCCTGTTGTATGTGAATGTGATCAAGACTTAGAGGGGTTGGAATAAAGAGAAAAAAATCTGTCTCTGTTTAGCTTGTGGCTATGCAGAGTTGCATTGTTAGTGTCATAATCTGTTTTTTAGGTGGACTCGTGACTCTCACTGAGAATGAAGCTGTGTTCTCATCATTGGTGGTTCTGGGTGTCGCCATGGAGGCGATTTGTGGGTCCTGGACGTGGCCTTGCATACAGTAGTTGCAGGTTTTTTTTTTGTGGGTTGCCCAGAAATTGACGTGCTTGATAGAGATAACGCTAGTGTGGCGTTTGGTTTGAACATTTGATTTGAAGTGTTTTTTTTTTCTTCTGAAATAAAATAAAATTTTATAACCTGGAGAGAAGTGTTGCGTTGCGTTTTGATGCAGTGTCGCTTTTAATAAAACGGCCTGGTTATTGAAAAACGGGAATGCAAGTGCAACAGGAACAGGGTGCCGTGCAATTCACGAATCACCTTATCTTTTTGTGTAAATTACTTTTAGTGTTGTACCTTCTATGGGGTTTCGTTCGATAAACCCGTTGAACAACAGCACAGGCTGTCTATAAGGTGGACAGCTAAAGTTTTCTGAGTTGATGGCAAACCATGTCGTCTCTTCAGCTATTCCTTCCATCTGGTTGTTTGGGTATTTGGAAGCTTTTTCCTAAACGATCCAGAAACTTTGGAGCCCAAGAGGGTTCCAACTTGACCCTCTGCCTGCCATGTGTTGGATACAAATCCTCTGTACATTTAAATTGTTAACAGTGGGCCGGTGGGTCCACCAATTGATGGATGGTTAGACACAAGGCCCCAAATTGGTGGGGGAAGTATGGAAATCTTTAGCTCCCAACATGACTCGATCATAAAACTCTAGCAAAGAATCTTTTACATGTCAAATTTGTTTGGAACTCAAATGGACCCACGGATTCCTTCCAGTAGCCTCTGTTATGGCCAAATTTGATCCATGATCCTCTGGAGTTTGGTCGGATTAAATCTTTCTTTTGATTAAGTTTAATATTAAAATGTTGAAGTTGTGTGAACCCGAGGACTGAACGGGTTCCCACTTCCCATCTGGAGGGACCCTTTGTGGACTTCTTGCCTTCTTGGTTATAACCACAAATTTGTTATTTCTTCCTCCATGTTGAACTAAAATTTTTTGGCCCAAAAACTACTGTTCGGGTCAAATACCCAAATGGGTTGATAGTTTGACCTCCTGGCTCAGCGGATTATCCAGAAAGGCCAAACGGTCTGACCATATGGGTCAATGATGGTTTTTAAAACATAGACATGACTTCAGTGTTAAATGCTTGACAGCCCAGGCTGTTAAAGATGGACAGCCAAAAATTTCTCTTCTCCATATGGGACAAATATGATTGTAGGGGAAATATCCATACTTTTACCCAACTACGAAATCTTTTTCATTGTATATTCATTTTTATACATATTAAAAAAAAGACTTGTATGGACAATTTAAAACAGCCTCAACCTGCGCAACAGGCAAACAATTAGTATCAAATTGGCAAATTCTCTTGAAGCCAGTGAATTAGTCTTTCTAAACAGCTGCTTCCTCGGCAAATATGAACATCAACCACATCTGAAAAAAAATCTGCTTATGGAGGGGTCATGATAAATGTTAGTATGAAGATGAAATCATAATGAGGTGGAACTAAGATTGCTTACAACACGATATTGACCTTATCATCATGCATTTTCTATAAATCAATCATATTGGGTTTGGGGCATTGATGTAATGGGCAGATCACTCGTGTAACAATTTTCTTTTACCTTAAACTAGTATTAGGGGGACCGGTTACCAGGTCGAACGGTCCGACCATTTGAAGTGAATGTTCGGTCCGTTTTGATAAAATTTTAAAAAATAAAAACAATCAAAATCGTTCGAATGGTTAACTGCTCGATTCAGTGGTTCATTGACCAAAATTAATAGTTTTGGGGGAAAATCCGATTTTTGGGGAAATGGAATCGGTCACCTGATTGATTCCCAGTTTTTCCGGTCCGATTTTGAAAACCATGATTTGATTCCTCATCTGTCTCATGTTCCCATCACCATCCCATTTACTAAATGCATGGCATTAAATCATCTTATATATATAAAGGAAAGGCCTTGTATACTAATGGTACATAACCACTAGCACAACTTGATAAAAGAAAATTCCAACTCCATTTGTCTTTCTCATATAAATAATGTCCTTTTTGAACTCTCTTTCTCATATTTGTATTCGTACCCTTCCAAACTGAGATTTTGGAAGGAGTACAAATACAAATATGTAGAGCTAGAATACAAATACATACAAAATAATACACAATATTCTTTGCAAGCCTCTGTCACTTCTTTTTCTTAAACTCCCTAACTTTTGAAATTTAGGCTGTGTTGTTTGATTGTAGTGCAAATTTGCACTGGTGCAAAACTATGATTGTGGCGTTGTGCAAATGATTAGGTGTAAATTTATATTTATTTTTATTTCAAATTTTATCATATTTTGTTTGATTGCCATTACAAATGAAGTAAAATAAGACTTGAGCAGAATAAAATATAACCCTGAACAAAATTAAATCAAAATTTGCATTCTTTTCATTTGCACTTTCATGCATTTATACTAATGCAAATAAAATTTAACTGCAACCAAACATAGCCTTAAGGGAATCAACAACAAAGTCCTATAAAAGCAAAGTTTTAAAAACCGCCTAGAAATAAAACCACTTTGGTCACTGGTATCTGGGTCAAATGGTAAAAATAAAAAGGGAGAATGACGGTTCAGCCCAGGGTCAGAATTCATAGGCACAAAGTACAATTGGGGTAGGTGCCAGCTTGGAATTGATGCCAATTCACAGGTGGGCATTGGTGCATAAGGTGGGGGTAATTGACCTTTTGAGATGTTGTAGATCTGCAGTGGAAATCAGAATTCTGCAATGGGCCTGTCCGTACTTCTCTGAAATAAAAATGACTCAAAATCCATTATCCGGGTCAAATTGTTTAGCCGTTCAACCATCTGAATCATCTGTTCATTGATCAATTCAATGTTTTTTCAGTAAATCTGCGCCAGGTGACAAATGAAATTGGATAACTGACCAGTTTCTAAGTCGAATGATTTGACCACCAAGGTCAACTACGGTCTTAAAACCATGTAAAAAAGGGGAGAATGACCAATCAGCACAGGGTCAGAATTTGTAGGCCCAAAATACAGTTGGAGTGGATGCCGGCTCAGAATTGATGCAAATTCACGGTCAGGCATTGGTGTGTAGAATGGGGTTTTTGACCTTTTGAATGTTTATAGATCTACAGTGGAAATCAGAATCTGCATTGGGCCTGTCCCACTTCTCTGTGTAAAAAAGTATCAGTAACTGCATTGAAACTGAAACAACTTTTCAGAATATGTGCTAATTGCTACATTTTATTTAATTTTTAAACTGGGCAATTATTGTTTTAAGATTCCTATAGAGAGCTTTCCAACAATTCTATTTTTCTACTAAGAACATTTTCAAGGAAACTATACTTTCTTTTTTATAAGAAAGGAAACTATATTGTTTATTTGACAGGTTCACAGCATGGAAAATAATAATAATTTTAAGAATTAGAGAAATGATTAATTTATTGAAAATGATGAAATACAATTAATTTATTGACAATAACAATTGAGAATTTATACAAGCTAAAAAACCTATCTACAAGCTAGATAAATAACAAAGATATTTTGGGTCCAAAAAAGTGTAAAACTGCTTTAACAATAGTCTTTATAATCAAAAAAGATATGGATAATTCACTATTAACATTAGACCAAAACAAATCCATAAAAATAAGTGAGAGAGCTGTTAACTAAAATTCAATACACTTAAATCCATTCAGAAAGTCTGGTTTTCAGAAATTTTGTACGTGCCGATACACATACATATCATCGGCTCATCGCTTGCCTAAACTTCATATTTCCATTGCTAAGCTGTGTGGAATGAAACCAAAAGAATACTCCACTCGACATGCCACAGGACTTTGAAATACCATACTGACTCTTCTCAAAATTTACTCCATCAACAGGATGGAATGTGTTGGGCCCAAACTTATAAACTGAGATGCCGATGAGGTGATGACCCTAGGGTTGTCAATGTTGAGCCTGAACCGATTCTGGTTTTAGGATCCGGAACTATTATAAGTAGGTTTATTATAATCGGATCCATTGGAACAGACCCAATTATCTAGAGAATCGATCGGTTCGATTCTGAGTCTAAAATTGCAGACCCTTTTAGGTCTAATTTGGCTCTAATTCCTTGATATTTCTGATCGGATCGGTTTTAATTCCAGTCGGGCCTGACCCAGACTGGACCTGTTGACATCCCTAGATGATTCAATAATTGAGATGGTCAGTTGGAGTCAACGAATGGGAGTATTGATCAAATCTGTGGAACTATAGGCTCTCCTTATCCTTATCTACTGCGGTGAACCTCTCTCTCTCTCTGGTTTTGTTTATCCTTACATACAAATAAAATAAGGTAAAATTTGAAACAAAAATAAATCGAAAATTACATTTAAATCATAAATCATATGCATTACCATGGTTTTGCATCAGTGCAAACAAATTTTGCACTGCAAACAAACAAAACCTTTAAAAGAAAGGTTTACTTTTATAAGCATCCACTTAAAATTTACTGCAACCCAGGGCATACTCATTCGTGCACATGATAACATTAATCATAAACAAATATTAACATTTGATACAATTATCATTAAATCAAATTCAATCAAATTTTGGCCTCTCAATTTCAGATTCACAGATTCGAGCTCTTCCAGCAAATGATGCTCAACAACATTTTAGTATGATTTTGCTAATGCGATAATTGTTTTTATTTTAAGAAACAAAATTATACATGTATCAAGCAACCCCTTAATTATGACTATTTGTGCCCCAAATAATAATTGGGTTGGGACCAGTTTTTGCTGTTCCAAACCGATTATATAGTTAATTTAAATATTTAAGCTGGGCACAAGCATTTTAAACTTTTGCTAATAACATAGTCATTTTATATAAAGGAAAAGTCTTGTGTATTAGTGGTGCACAACCACTGCACCAACATAAAAGAAAATTCCAACTCCATCCGTTTTTTCATATCTATACTATTTTAAAAAGTACGAAGTCTCAAGAATATTTTTGGAATTTTTAAAGACAACTTACCCCTCTATATTTAAATTTATTGATAGAAAAATGACGGCAAATGGGGTAGTTGGTTATTGATATTAAATGAGTTGAAAAGAGGTAATTTTAAGATTTTCAATGCATTCAATTATCTCTCATTAAATCCAACATTTAAGGTATTAATTTGCATTCACCTTCATTGAATCATATATTTAAGGTTTTTTTGTTTTTTCTCATCATTAAATTGTATAATTAAATCCATACACAATAAATTAATAATTTCAATAACATAAAAACTTATACTTTTAATATCTATCTGGAAAAAAAACAGTGTTTTCATGTAGGTGGTGGTAAGAAATTAAACCATTTGGGTCAAATGGGCTAATCTATGTTGCCACAATTAAATAATAAAATTCAAAAATATATAAAATAAAAAATATAGAAATTAAAAATATGGGAATGTTTTAACATCATATATTTGACATATTAAACAATATTAAGTATGATAAACAATGTTTTAAAAACCGATCCAGAGGTCGACCCGCTTTTGCCTTCGAGTCATAGGTCACCGGTTCGACTATTAAGGTAAAATGAGTCAAACAGCTCTGCGTCAACACTATGTGTGTGTGTGTGTAAAAATACATATTTTATTAATAAATAGTATAATTATGTTTTATATATATTATAGTTATGTTTTCTATATATTTTATAATTATGTTTTACATATATAACATATAATATATGTACTATGTTACATTTATTTATGTTTTTTAATTCAGATTTTAATTTTTTATTTATACAAAATAATAATAATAATAATAATAATAATAATAATAATAATAATAATAATAATAATAATAATTGTAATTTAAAATTTAAAAATTTTTGCACGTGCACATTTAGTACAAGTATTTAAGTTTATTTTTAGTCATATTGTTACTTTTATTAATTTTTAATTTATATATTAACTATGATATATCTAAAATTAAAGTAATTAATATGAAAAAAAATTCATATGTGCAACACACATGTTTAATTACTAGTCAATACAAAACTTTAATAATCATAAATCCTAAATAACATAGTCCAGAGGTCCCATGGTGCATCTGGTTTATTAATGGCTTTATTTTAATTAATAAAATTAATAAAGAATTAAATGCAAAATTAAATTTATAAGTAAATAAATTTAATAACAAAAAAGTGCAAATCAGGGCACATTTAAGAATAGAGACTAAGAAATAACCCAATGCGATCTTTTATATAAACTTGGTTGGATAATTAATAACAAGGGAGAAATTAAGGATACCACCCATAGATTTAGGGCATGATAGGAAAAATAAGGGTGCACCCAAAGCCCTATATGTTGAGCCAGGGTTGGCCCTGAGTTTTCAAGCTGTGGGGTTAGCCTGGGCCCAGAAATGTTGAAGCCTCATGTAGCCTAAGCCTATCCCAACCCATCCCAAATACACCCAAACAAATTATATTTGTGTAAAAATATTTTTTTTAATTATATATATATGTATTTATATATGCATGTATATAATATATATATATATATATATA